CTCCCACAGAGAACCCTGTATTTGGAGAAACAGCAGCGGCTTTATTATCCCATGTGTGGCTCTGTGAGGCTGTCCTCTCTGGAGCAGGCTGAGTGCAGAGGCTCCTGTATCTAAACATGGAGGCACAGGTGTGTGGGCGAGGGATGGGGGCACCTGGGCAGCAAGGGGTGACAGTGCCAGCCTGAGGTTCAGGTTGTGACATCAGGGGAGGGTGGGCATGGGAGGCCAGCCAGGATTAGGGAGGGCAGGAAAATGGGTTCAGCCGGGAGGGCAAAGCCCTCCAGACAAAGGGCTAAGAAGAGCCCCAGCCCTAACAGCCATGCCAGGGAAGAGGCCGAAGAGGTCGAGGCACCTCCTTTGGACTCTCCTTTGGCACCTCCAGTGGCATCTTCATCCTCAGAGATTTCCTCTGCAGAGAAGATCCCGAACGCTTTGGAGTTGCCCAGTAAGGATTTAGTGGGTGAGGCCATGCACCCCTGAATGCTCACTCCGGAAGACAGTCCACCTGGAAGGGGAGATCAGCCAGGGGCAGCCCAGGTCAGCAGAGCTGGGAAACTCAGCCCCATTCTCCTTCCTCAGAGAGTGAGTCATACTTCTGCCTTCCATCCAACTCCCTCCATCCAGGACTCCAGGGCCAGACTCCTCCATGGACTCAAGGCTGAAGAACCCAGGGGTCCAGGCCAGCCTCCTCCCTCAGACCAGGGGTCCAGGCCAGCCTCCTCCCTCAGACCAGGGGTCCAGGCCCAGCTCTTCTCTCAGACTCAGGGGTCCAGGCTCAGCCTCCTCCCTCAGACCAGGGGTCAGGCCAGCCTCTTCCCTCAGACCCAGGGGTCCAGGCCAGCCTCCTCCCTCAGACCAGGAGTCCAGGCCCAGCCTCCTCCCTCAGACCCGAGGTCCAGCCGCTGCAGTCCAACCATCTACACTCACCTCCCTGGAGACCAATGGCACCTTTGTAACAGTGAGTGGCACCCTGAGGGCAGGTGACAACTCTGGTGTTCTGAGGGCAGGACCCAAATAACTGCACACAGGCAGGACACTGCAGGCTTCCCGGGGCAGGAGCGGCTGGGGACAGGGAAAGGCAGGATGCAATGCAAGCTCTCGGCTACAGCCACCTGCTCACCTCCCAAGTGTCTGGGTCCCTCCCTGTCCCCGACCCATACCTGGCCGAGGGAGGGAGCTGAGCAGGATGCTGCTGTTGCTGGCTGCATTGCACAGCGGGGAGGAGCAGAAGTGGAAATAGGAAGCTATCAGCATTCCAGGGTGCTGGGAGTGCAGGGACACTCCAGGGCTGGGCTGGGCCACCGGCCTGCTGCAGCCTTTGCTCCCTATTAGGACAGAACCTTGTCCTGGGGGAACAAGAGTGAAAGCCAGGCTCAGAAGAAGAGGGCAAGAACATAGAGCCCAGTTCTGGGGTCCCTCCCAGTCACGGGGAACCCAGTCCGCAGTGACAATAACACACACGCTGTGCTGACTCTGACAAAGACTGGCTCCCTCTGCCCTGCTCCTGGCAGACCTCATGGTTAGGCCCCTGCACACAGTCTCGCCTGAGCCCCTGGCACGCTGCAGCCTCACTGTTCACCATCCCTCCTCCCTGCTGGCTCCTCCACACTCTGCCCTTCACACCCACACTTGGCTCTCTGTGGGCGGTTTCTGTCTCCTTTCCCACCTCCCTGCAGAGCTGCAAAGGGACACAGAGGCTTCACAGAGTCCCATTCAGGCCTGCAGCATCCTTCCCCCTTCCTTCTTCCTTCCTTCTTTCTTCCTTCCTTCCTCCCTCCCTCCCTTCCTCCCTCCCTCCCTTTCTTCCTCCCTCCCTCCCTCCCTCCTTCCTTCCCTCCCTCCCTCCCTCTTCCCTCCATCTTCCTGGGCCCTGACTCTCCTCTAGCCCAGGCTGCTCTTGAACTCTGTCTACGGCTGCATGTGACGGTGACTGTCCCCACCCCCAGCCTCATGTTGGCTTTGCAGACACACCTCTCCATACCCAGTCCATGTGGTACTAGGGACCGAGCCTGGCGCTGTCCCTAATTAGCAAGGGGCAACCTTCTCTACCCTCACCGCAGGTCAGCAGGGCAGAGCACAGCGAGAGATGCTGGCCACGAGGGAGCTGGGGAGAAGTGCAGAACACAGACTCCAGGGCAGGGCTGGGCAGGCGAGTGCCCTCCAGCTCAGAACGCACCTACGTCTATGAGCAGGAGCGTCTCCTGACACAGCTCCCCAGGTGCGCTCTGTATGGTCCCAAATGACTTCCACTCAATGGGTGTCTTCGAGAAGCCACTGCCTGATTTCAACATGACTCCCTTGTGACAGGTCAGCGTGTCTGCGGAGAGGAGAACCAGGCTGGGGAGAGTCAGGGGCCACCATGGCTGCCCCTGCAGCTTCCGGGCAAGGGAGGCCATGGCCTGCTGAATCACACGCCCCGGGCCCTGGCTGGGACGTCCTGGTTTGCATGTGGGAGGGATGAAGGCCTCGAAGCCTCCAGGCAGTGCCACCCTTCTTGGTGACCCACAGGGCGGCAAAGTGGCAGAGCTGCGCTCTCCCGGCTCCACCTGCTCCCAGGCCCACCCCACCTTGCTCACAGGTTTGCCCACCTTCCCCAGATGCACAAGCTGCAGAGCTGCCCCCAAGCCCCTTCATCCCTTCTCTCCAGGCCCTGGTGCAGTCCCGGGGAAACCCCGTGGCTTACGCTGCACCGTCTCTGCAGAACCTGAGCACCTGGCCGCCTCTAATGCACCCAGCTGCAAATGCAGGGCCTCTGCTGCCTGTCCTGAATCTCTCTGAGTCCCTTCCCCTCCCCCACCTTGTTCACCACCCAGCAGCCCATGGGCCCTCTTAAAGGGTCAGGCATCCATGTGAGGC